GAAACTCGCTTACTTGGAATGGAAGGGGGCTGAGTACCTAAAGAAGATGGAATATCCAAGTAGGTCACCTGACTTGAGTCCCCTCGAATAATCGATTCGGGTGGAGTCAATAGGGTGGTCTACGGTGGCGGAGAAATGACTCTCTTGCTGATCTCAGGCACCACATAGCGGTCGCGTGCCAGAATCTCTCGATGGCGGCTTTTCCAGAAGGCTGTGGCGGAGTGAAGTGACATGGATATAACAGTATTTGCATATGCTCTTTCAATTGCTGGTAAAATGTCCGATCAGAATGTAAAGTGTAACTTATAGCGCCTCGAAAGTCAATGAAGAAAAGTGAGTTTTTTGCCCCTCGGTATGCTAGCTGTACCCCTATCAGACTGGGTAACCCTAGTTGCCCTAATTCTCAATGAAAGAAGATTCACTTATTACGAGTTACTGAGGACCTACTTGAGGTTGGGCTTATTGACTGGCTAACAGACAATCGCGGTTGATCGTGAAGCTATGAGGCGTTCACCCTCTAACAATTTGACTACTTCTTATCCAAAATAGCGCTGCTTACCTGGAGGTTTTTCCGTTTGATCTTATTGACATTGTCCGAGACAACATCGAACTCGTCGTTTATTTCGGCCTGGAAGTACTATCATCTTTTAAGAACTGCCTAAATTCTCAAAAGGAATACGGTACCTGTAATATCTCTTCAACGATGTCCTCTAGAGTGACCACGCCCACCAGTTCATACGATGGATCGTGATCTTCAGTGCCGACAAGCTTCTTCACCATCGCCAAATGGCCTTCACCCTTGAAATATCCGGTCTGCACAAGATAAACGATTTAGACGGCTCCAGCATGCGATGGAAATGCCGATGTTAAGAAGTTCACCACACCACACGCCACATGCAATGATTACCTTCTTGAACGCCTCCAGAAGTATGCTTAATGGAGTGTCGTTGAAGACAAATTTTACTGGATGACGGTGATAGCCACAGACCGTTTTAACCGTGAAGTTATCGTCCGGATCCAGCAAAGCCAGGTCCTTAACAGGTGATTAGGATGATAATGTGCGCTGTGATGATATCTCTTTTACACACACAGCCCATATCTTGAAGAAGTGGGAGGCATGATTGCGTACTTCATCTGAACGTGGCCTACAGTGTATACTTGGTGGGATATTTTCATTTGAGACAATAGTCATCCTCTCTTGTGCAGAACATAGACTAAGAAAACAAATGTATGGAAACGTGGCCACTCCAATTGCCACAGGCTTTGGAAAGCGAATGACAAAGCGCTACGGAGAGCGGAGGGTAAGCTTTCTCTAGTGTTCATCCCAAGCGCAAGGGTGAGCTTTCTCTAGTGCTTCACCCCCACTGTTTTTTACTGTTAGGCAAACAAAACAGCCAAATAGAAGATGCGAATTACCTTAACAAACAGGATATCAGTGACGTTATTCTTATCACCATCAGAATAGATCGGGATTCGTGTATATCCCATTCGGACGATCTCGGCGACTGTCTTGGTATTCAAAACGGTGGTGTCGGGTATCATGAACACATCCTGAAAGGCATGCCAAATGCAAAACGAAAAAAAAATCCGAAAAGTGCGTGGCCATAGTCAGTATGCCATTTCCTGAGATGCATGTTATGTACTTAATTTGATCAGCATATTATAGGAGTTGCGTTGAATGATTAGGTACATCTCCTGTGTGTGACGATTTCCATTATTTCAGACCGATTTCAAGCCTCCTTTGTTCCAAACCGTATCCCTGATCCTTGATCAATTAGTCTCCTGGTGGGATCTATTCCCACTAAAAGGCTAAATGGGGGAAATCGGACAGCTAAAGGCAGATTACGCGATACTCACATGGAGAAGAGACACACACACACCACCACACACACACACACACACACACACACACACACACACACACACACACACACACACACACACACACACACACACACACACACACACACACACACACACACACACACACCACACCACACACATACATGTATATTTATCCCGTAGTTCTGTAAAAAGACGCACCACTGTGAGAAAAACAATTGATATGGGTTTCCGAACACCTTTCCACTGTCTTTTTATCTCGGAATAAGTCAATTATTCTGAGAACTATTCTTGTTAGAACCACTACCAAAATCGGATTGGCTACCTCCCTATCCTGAAGACGGTGCGTAATTGCGGTATAGAATGGGTTACGCAAGGGATATTTCACTTTGAGGCAAATGACATGTTGTTCTCTGTTGGACAGAGACACAACCATAATTGTTTCAGGGTGAAAATATTATATCTCACCAGAAGCACAGCCACCGCCGTGTTCTGCTGGGTTAGGCAGCCAGCCTACACCATCTCAGGGATTTCGAGTGTAGAACAAGTTCACATAAGAGCAACTTACAGCTAGCTTTGTCATGACATCTTTCAGGCCACCTTGTCAGCTATCTCCATAGCGCCGACGGCAATTTTGAAGCTCGTTTGATAATTGCCCGTTGTCGTTTTTGATCGACATACGTATCAACTCCATCAGGCGCTTCCGATCGTATGCTTGCTGAAACCACTTCTTTTTTTCTTCTTCTTCCTCAGCGTTTGTCCCGCTCGATGGCGGGGTCCGCTTTTTTGATATAACTACGCCACTTTTCCCGATTGAATGCCTGATCGGGATGGATGCCGGCTATTTTCAAGTCGGTGTGCAGCGTGTCGAGCCAGCGCTGTTTGGGACGCCCTTTTGGCCGCTTTCCTGGTACCTCGAGTTCGAGAGCAGTTTTACGGACGGTGTCAGCCTTCGCGCGAAGTACGTGCCCGTACCATCGAAGGCGCGTTTCGCGCAATTTGCTGAAACCACATGTTTAGCTAAAAATGCAGGAGTGCATTGCAACGGGACGATAGATGGACAACTAGTGTTAAAGGACAAAATAGTTTAAAACTAGAAGAAACCCCGATGCAGGTCGGTGACACGTTTCCAACCGCAGGCGCGCTTAAGACTGCCCTCAACAGGAGGTCGCATCGCAACAGCTCGCGCTTTCGCCTTTTGCCCTGATTACCTTTCTTGCGCCGCACATAGCGAGTACTAAAGAGAACCAAGTAAACCCAAAAACTCACATATTCATCGCCAAGAAGACAGTCGAGAAGCTTGCTGACTGGATATGCTACCGGATAGGTTATGAATATGAACACTTGTGTTATTAATATTGTATGAGCACCAACAGCAAGACCTTTCCTAAACAACACAGTACGATTAACAAGCTCCGCATATGGAGATAACCACGCCATCGGAAACTGTCCAATGTTGCCCCCAGGAGGCTCTCATATTGATAAAACGTTGGCCAGCTAATATATGACAGCTTAATCCAAAGAGATATCTTACTTGACACATATACTTTGTGGAACGATCTCGCCGAAGATGACAATACCAAGTGATGAGATAAAGAGAGCCAGAAGTCCTGTGGTCAGCTCACCGAATAGAATTGAAATCGCAGCATTCACGATAACATTACCCAGAAGAAGCGAGCAGAGCAGCAGATTACCTGCAATACTTGGTTGATAATTTGTGCATGACAACTAGTAGTAAAGATCAGTAGGTCATTAGGCCCAGAACTAGATTCCAGACTAGAAGCCATAGTCCACGCTGGTCGTGTAGCCGGAGTCAGCTCTGCTATTAAGCCTTTCTCACTCACGTGCCCTCTTCTTTTTGTGTTATGGAAGTAAGCATTAAGCGTAATGCATAGTTAAAGGTCGGATCCACCACAGGTATCAAGCGTGGACTTTACATCTTAGGGCCCTGTGCAAGCAGAAGTTGGAGATGGTATATTGAAGGCAACTTGTTCAACGTTGCCAGTTTTTCTCCACCGTCCCAATGTATTCGATACACAGTATTAGCCAACCTTTTCTCTTTCTTATGTGAAACTAAACAGAACTATTTTCTGTTCGACTAGCGCGAACCAAGCTTCACTACACACAAGTTCCAATTCCTGTGGAGTCAACGACATGAGCCCCAATGTCAGACCGGAGAATAGTGCCGAAAGACACAACAGAAATGCGATAACCATTATCTGGAAGAAAAAACTTCAAACCTCACCCTTTGGGGTATGTCGGCGGCGTATGCAAGTCAAGAGGCCTCGCGTAAGCCGAACCAGAGGGGAGGAGCGAAAGATCTTCTTGTAACTTTTGTATCTCCAATAAAAATAAACGACCAAAGGGGGAGAGCGTGAGGCGGCCGACGGCCACTATCCGTGAACGATTTCCACCGCTGATATGACCCTAGGTACCAGATCCACTGTCTTTCTGAAAATGGTCTGTTTCCCTTTGCAACAGGTGCACCACCGACCGGGTGTGGGGAGCTAAGGGATTAGAATTTTTTGGATTCGTAAAACGACGGAATAGTAAGTCAAAAATGTAAAATACAGTGCGTAACAAAAGTATGTGGACACCTCAAATTTTGATTTTGCGAAGTTGCCTTTGGATTTTGCGATCTGAGACCATCACTGTTAGATTCTGTATAAGCAGGTCACTGGTTAGAATTCCACAAGCGAAAGTATAGGAATGCACTACTTCTGAATACATTGTGAACTAACTGTACAATTATTTATTGTTTTGAAAAAATTTCTTAATAACAAAAGTATGTGGACACCTGAGAAAGTTCAAAGTTTGGCTCCAAATCTGCAACCCATATCTATCGTCTCTGCTCCCCATGCCTCGTCGTGGCAGTACTCTCTCCGAAGGCGAACAATCTCAGATTGGAGCTCTCAGTGCTGCTGGACGCTCGACTAGAGAAATTGCAAGACAGCTCGGACGTTCGGCGACGTGCGTTGGTAATACCTCCCAAGATCACGGATGGCTACCATCTCAGCCATATTTTCGGGGGTATCTCGATCTCTCTGGTCCGCAAAAGACATCAGAAAGAATAGCGGCCGTGTCGCGCATCAACTCCCCCCTTCTGTGAAGACAGATCCATCTGCTTGCAGTGGATCTACCGCTCTCAAAATGACCATATTGCGCGCTATCTTCGATTCACAAATGAGCATATCACACGAGAGACCATGAAGAAAGCTCCTCGCCTGACTGCCCAACACCGGCTGGCGAGACTGAACTTCGCGCGTGCAAACATGGCGACGTCGTGGGACAAGGTGAAGTTTTTTTGAGAGATTTGTAAAATCAGAAAGGCAACATTCCTATGCGTTTGTCTTTCTCAGCTATCTTACCAAATGAAAAAAGTATCATATCTCGACTGGACAGATGGCATATCGGCCACTACGGCAGAGAGACCTTCGTCGCGATCCGTTGGTGTTCTCGAGGCGAAATTTCGGAGGCGACTCTTTGATGATGTGGGGTGGTTTTGGAATCAGCGGAAAGTTGGAGCTCGCCTTCCCATCGTGCCGTATGAACAGTCAAGAATATCAAGGAGTGCTCGAATCCAACCTCTTGCCTTTTCTGAGTGGGCCACGACCCAGGACACATGTGCTGCAGCAGGACAACGCCGCCGTGCATGTTTCAAATTCTACTATAAAATGGCTCCAGCGCAATGGTATCAAAGTGATGGATTGGCCGGCATGTTCTCCTGACTGCAACCCAATCGAAAACCTGTGGGGAATTATGGTTCGACGAACTTACATGAACAATCGCGCCAACAGCATTGGCGAGACCCCAGGAGGCGTATGCTGCTATGGGGGGAAATCGACGATGACACTTATCACAAATCTTGTCCACAGCATGCCAGACAGAATGTTCGAAGTAATAGTGAACGCGGGAGGAGCACCAAGTTTTAATTTCCATGATACTTTTGTTTTTTGTTAAGTGTCCACATACTTTTGTTATTAAGAAATTTTTCAAAACAATAAATTTGATCAGTAGGCTTAGCATGTGCTACAGAGGGTGGTGCATTCCTATTACTTTCATGGGTAAGGAATTTAACAGTGATGGTCTCAGATCACAATATCGAAAGGCAATTTCGCAAAATCAAAATTTGGGGTGTCCACATACTTTTGTTACGCACTGTAGGCCAAAATTGGTAAAATCAGAACTTTCCAAAAAAACGCACCTGAACAGGTAATGGTAAAAAGTATTCCTTCGGTGGTTTCTCAGTGGTAATCCATGTGGAAATGTCGTCTAGCTGAATGAACACATAGTGGTTTGCTCCTATGTAGCTCATAAATTTCTATCATTTACAAGATTTGATATCACCAAAACGTTTGCGTGACCACCCTTCACTACTCTACTCTTTGCAGTTCAGGATAAGTTTTGACCGAAGTTGTTCTTAAAATAAAGCTGGTAGTGTAAATTCGTTTCCAGATATTGTCTGACCCCCCGAATACGGAATTCCATTTGTATCGTTCGGTCGCCTAACGCCAAAGCCAGATGCGTCGGTGCCAGGGCACACGAAAACATCAGTTGTGTCCAAGGGCGCAGTAATCCCCTCGAATACGAAATTCGCGATTCCTTGACGTGAAAATTCCTCTATTTTCCTGATTCCTGGTACATGCGCTACTGGCTCTAGTACCAATACGCTAACGTCTACGGCGCCTGTGTCTCGCTGCTGGTACCGAACTGTGTCAGGAAGGCCTGACCTGGCGCGGCTCCAGCCAGTTCTCCACCATTTCTCGAACCGGGTAAGCGATAACAACAATTGGCGAAGAACGTACTGGCGCCGTGCCAAACCCACCCCCCCTCCCCATCTCCGCCGACAGACCTCAGCATCTGCGGCAAACAAGACCGTATTTCAAGAGAATGCGATAATTGCGCCCAGGGTGTCAGAATATTTCCGGTAGTGAAGATACGGCTGGCTAATGCTAAGGAAAATTTCAACAGAAATATGGCCTGGATTCCCAAACAGTGGGGCAGTAATGAGTAAAATGTACCCTTCGTTTGTATTGAGAGATATTGCAAAACTTCATGAAGCAATAAAGGACTTCATGAAATGAATAGAGGAACAAATCTTGAAGCATTCGATACATTTCATTCGAACTCTTAAAGGAACGGTCCGCGATGATCTATCAAAACGCAAGAGGTTATGTGGGAAGGTAATGTCGTCCGGAGTCTTTTATCGCGTACCGTGCTTTTAACTAGAGATAATCGCAGTTACGTTGCAGTGTATTGCCAGGTAACCCTGCTGAATATTTTCACAAAAAGGTGCCACCGCCACTAACGAATACATCCAATTGTCTCTGATTAAACTACAATAATTATTGGTGGAATAGTTAACAACTATCCGATAAAAAAACACATATCTGGGATAATGTGATGACTGTGAGGCCTTTCGTCGCACTAATGGTAAGGCCTAGAGAAATTGAAGGCGCTAGGGCCAAAGAACTGATCCGAATAGGCGAGACTGCCTTTTTCACATCAGCTTCTTCGCGGAAATAAAACGTTTTGAGCCAGGCACGTGCCAAAATATATAGCTTCAAGATTCCGAATGGTAGAGGGGTCTCCAGCACATCGCAAAAGTACCGGCCATCGGAGTTCGCAGAAATGACCTTGTAGTACCTCTTCCCACTCTCCATATTATTATTTCACCAGTCGGCTCGCCGGCTAACGCCGGCGCGCCTCCTTCTGATACGGCCCGGCTGCGCCGGGCGAGCGCGGCTTCGCCGCGCGTATTTTCTTTCACATATTTCTAGACTCAACTGATATCCGCCTTTTGTTCTGTACTCCACTTTTTTCCGGTGTCTGAAGTACTCTTGAGCTATTTTACAGATTCTTCGTCTGGCTCCGCCCACCTCGGGCTGGCCCCGCCCACAATATGTCTACCCCACATTTCTCAATCGGCGACCCCTTGCTGACCTGAATTCACTTTATTCCGGTCTTCGGAGTGCTCTGGAACCGTTTTACAGACCTTTTTTGTCTGGCTCCGCCCACCTCGGAGCAGGCTCCGCCCACAATGTTTTTGCCCCACAATCCTCACCGGCGACCTCTGCTGACCTTTGTTCACTTTTTCCGGTGTCTGGAGTGTTCTGGAACCGAGCTACAAACTTTTAAAATGAATACCCTGCGATTTAGGGCAAGCTCCGTGTCTCAACACACTCTTGAGCGTGCCCTATATTCGCCAGATATTTACATTCTACACTGAGTTTTTGCGACTTCCAAACACTCTCGCGAACCGGGTTACTGAATTTTGCGAGAAGCACCGCCCCTTGAGTACGCCCCGCCCATTTTGGATGTGTCTGCCACAGTTAGTCTGGCGACTCCTTACTAACCTTATTCCCTTTTTTCCCATCTTTAAGCTGCTCCGGAAGCGAATTATGAACATTTTTCTGAACCCCAAACTTTCAGCGAGTGCCCCGCCCACTGTGGGCGGGGCTTCCCATAGGTCAAGTGTGCTTTTTATTTCTTGTCCCATGCCCTACCCATCCCCACCTTGACCCGACCTCTCCAAGTCGTTCTTCAGGTCGAACCGAATTTCCGGACAGACAAACTTACAAACAAACTTACAAACAAACAAAAACTTACAAACAAACAAACAAACAAACAAACAAACAACAGAGCAAATTATATATATGGGGTGATCCTTTAAACGGGTAGAAAAAATATAAGCAAAGAACGCTCACGTACTGGACTCAGCTCCATACCAGGCAGTGCTCCCTTGGGTTTCACACACATTTTGTAAGCGTGTATACTCTCAGGAAGCATTGGAAGTATCAGATGAAACGTAGCCTGAAAAGAAGACTCTCGAATTGGATGTTCTCCTGGAGCCATCCCCAGGGGGTAGTCCGCGCTGATCATATAGACAGGGTACAGCATCGTTGTGTGAAATATATAGGAGGTAGTACTTTGGTGCTGGCGAGGGTAGGGGGGGGTTGTATTTGGTCGTTGTTGGGAGTGGAGGGGGTCGCGCGTGTCTTTGACAGATATTTAGGAAAAAATTTTTACCGGTTGTTGACTTTTTGTGGTTTTTCCTTTATGTGCATTATATTGCCCCGCTCGACGGCAAGCTATTTCGATAGAATTAGGGAAATTTTCTGGCAAATGTTCGACGGAAAATGTCTAGGTGAAAAACTGGAAAATGTGGGAAACTGATAAGTGGGAGCTGGGGAACGGGGAGGGGGTCGTACCAAGACTCTCCCTTGAAAGAGGGGGAGGGGGCGGGCCGTCCCGGCATCACCATTTCACACATCATGATGCTGTACCCTGCATATAAGCAGTGAGCAAGCCTGACATTATGGATTCACTATAGATGCCACGAGTTTACCAGTTTACCAACGAGAAAGAAGCAGTTCTGGGCTTAGTCCGCCCGCACGATCAGCGTGAACTACTGATATGGGGATGGGGAAAGCTTTCAAGCTGGAAGAACTTGGACTGCAATGTCAGGAAAACTGAGACTAAACCCTTTGGACTAACCTTATGGGTGAAATGTACAATGAAATCATTTGTGGCGTCGACGACATGCTTTCCATCAGAGCAGTTATTCGTCGGTGTGAAAATCAATTGTGCGATTTTGTCCAAGTGATTACCGTAGATGACAACTTTGAACTGCTCGTCCGGTGTTACTATACAGACACCATGTTTACTGAAATGCAGTGATATGACATATACAGCATTAAACTAATCACTGTTCAACAGATGGGATTCAGGAGAGCCCCTGACGGAGACATAGGTGTAGATCCCTGTAGCTGCTGTGAACATTCTCACCAAATTCAGGTCCCGTAGGTTTTTGTAATCTGTATGGCCCTGAATCTCTTCGAGCTGTTGTTTAAGAAGTCCCGTAAAAGATTGGTCAACTCTTACAAAGAATGGTACTAGCTTGATTTTCTTAACCATATGCACTACAAAGGCGGACGTGGTGTAGTGACAAGTGGCGTGCTTCCCACTCGCGCGGTATCGCGAATCCCGCCCAAACACGATCCTTCCTCCCCCCCCCCCCCTAGGGACGGTAAATTGGTACCAGATTCGTCTGGGAGGATAAAACACTGACTTGTACATCGGCTGGCCCCGCAAGTCATTGTATAGGCCACATCGCATTCAATAAGCCACTACGATTCTGAATGGAAGTAGAATGCGTGCCGCATCCCACCAAGGGATTCGCACGCAGGCACGGGGTCCGGACGCAGGCACGGGGTCCAGAGATCAGATCCCGCGTCGGCTCTTGCCCACGCCAAGCGAGCCGTCAACCTGGTGGGTTGGTGAATACGTACGAGGTTTTTCCAGGAAGGTAACGACACTGACTTGTATATCGGCTGGCTCCCAAAACTTATTGCCTAGGTCACATCGCTTTCAAAGGCTGAGCTCACGTTTCTTTGAATTATCCAAGCTCGTTCTGGAAGAGGTAGTGTGAACAGCAATGAGCAACCTTGTATAGGTTCAACAGAAAGAAAGTGGCAAGGTAGCGGCGGTAAGGCGCAAGGTTGCTCAAGTGACTCCGCCCAAGTTGATAGATGTCTTGTTTACGCTCTCCTTCGTTTGCATGCTCTCTCACTGTTTTCTCTGGCCTCTCTCTCCGATATCCACATTGACTATTTGTCCTTCGCGTGGCACGAGTAGGGCTCTATTTCAAACCTTGCGGACGGTTTCCTCTCCTTATTTCTTTACGAACGGGTCAGTAAGAAAATACAATTCTGTTTCTCGACCTACGGTTTTTTTTGTTGGCTCATCGCGAAGTTTCTTCGATAAGTTCCCTTAGTTTGCCTTTCCACTACTAATCTCAATGGATGTAGTATGCGTGCTGCATCCTAAAGGGATTGATCAGTGGTCCAGACTTCATCCCTTATGTGCTGCAATAAACTAGACCAGGTTGAACAAACAGGACATTTTACTAATTGCACAAAGGAATTGCCCATTCCAAAGCCCATTCACCCCATTCCTACGGCAAATGTGTTATTCCCATGGCCCTCAATCGTGGCGCTTACACCTTCCGGCACAAAATGCTACCCAACATGGGAAAAAATGGTAGAAATGGCGAGCAAGCGGTACTGACGCGATTTCATAGCTTTGCAAGAGTTGAATAGACCTGTCGGCGCTGTTCGGCGACAGGGGGGGGGCATTTTGTGCTATCACAGCTTTAGTAGTTCCGGTTTACAAGTCTCACTCTGGTGAAACCTGTGAACTCTTGTGTAGCTGGAGCAAGCTCGTCCACCTCCATGATAAAACCTGTCAACTCTTGTAAGGCTCTCTCGATGGCTCGACACGTCGATGGGAAGTGGCAAAAAGCAAAATGCCCCC